ACTGTTCCTTGTACTCCTGCATGTTCACCTTAGTAAGATGAAGACGTGCTTCACAAGATTTTACTTCGTCAAATTTATAACTATGAGTTATGTTGAGTATAGCAGCCTCTACGTTAAGACCATTCAAGCTTGCCTCAAGCTTTTTATTATTATGTTCAAGCTCTTTCTTATCAACTTTGCATTGCTCGAAATCATCTCTATGTGTGTCACACTTTGCATATTTCACATCTAAAGCTGACTTGTCTTTCTTTAATTGTTCAATTAATTCATTAAGTTTGCGAGTTTCCTTAAGGCATTTAATCTTCTCTTCTTTGCATTCAGCATGTGCTGGCCTCTCAGAGTCACATTGTACATACTTCAAATTGAGAGATGATATTTGCTTACTCAATTGTTGCATATCTTTCCTAAGCTCTTCCTTTTCCGTCTGGCATCCAGCTTTTTCTTCCTTGCATTCCTTGTCATCACGTTCACTCCATTTTGAATGCATTTGAGTTAATAAGCTATTTCCCATTCCAAGTTTTCCAACTAAACTTACAGTTTCATTAAGGCGTTCAATTTCATTGACATGATCACGTTCCATTTTTTCTAACTTCATTTGACAGGTTTTCCTTTCATTTTCGCAATCATCCGAGTCTTTTTGGTAATTCCAAAAAAAAGCAATCAAAATAGCAACTATAACAACTAGGATACCCATGACAAGAAGACAGCAACAGCTTCTGTCCTGCAAGGAAAAATACACTTTACTACACAGTATATACAACACATTATCAAATTAACATGAGTGTATAATAATCAAGAGTAGACAGTTGTCTAGGGTAATAAATACAATGCCAAACATGGTCAATGAAAATGTCATCAAAGAAGAAATACAAATAAATAAATGATGACAAGAGAGAGAAAGTGACCATGAGTCTCGCAGGCTAGGGAAAAAGGATCTAGCCTATGAGACTAGTGACCTGGTATGTTGGTAGCAAATACCATCCAGCCTGAAATACTGGTGGGAATTAGATTAGATAGTTTGTTTTTAAAAATTGGAATTGGCAAAAGCAGCCATGTCTCTTTGAGCATGCTCAAAATGAAACAAAATGGTGGACTTTATATTAGTGGATGCTCACTGAAGCTGTGAATATTAATTCTCCACCAATATTTCTGGCTGTACAGTATGCCACCAATGTAGGTACATACTTACATGATGAGAGGAACTTTTATTTTTTTTGCTAATTTCTTCAAGGCGAAACTGGAGCTTTTCACATCCCTTGCAGCTGGGATTATGAACCTTTTCACCATCCTATATAAAACATCTAAAATCTCTTATCTGCTGAGAATCTTTGTCAGCTACTAACACCAATACTTTGTGATG